CGGCAACCTATTTTTGTGGATATTTGGTGAGGTTTTTCATTCTTGTATCTCTAGTATTCTGTTGTTGTAGTTCCTAGAAGCTATGTGACTTTTGTTGAGACCTCTAGATTTGAGAAAAAATTATTTGTCCATTGTATTTGTCCCAAAATCATAATAGATGGACGTAGCCCGTAGTTGGGGTTGAACTAGTATAAATTCTATGTGTCATTTATTGCACTTTTTCTATATCTCTTATTATCGTGGTTGATTGTATTTTTCACTTATGAACTGTAGGAGAGGAAAAGTTTTTGGTCAGTAATTTTCCAACAATAAATTATTGTCCTTCGTTGTTTTTCCTATCTTTGTGGATCCCATCACTTAATTCTTTTGACTTTTATTTTATCACGGGTCTTGTACCAATTTAAATTATGAAGGAAAAAAAGTACAAATTTTACACCTAGGTACGGAAAAAAAAAGTCAACCAAAACAATTAGAATAATATTTTTGTATCTTCCACCGACCCACATTAAGATTACTTTTGAATTTTGATGATTTATTATTTTTTAAAATAATTTTGTAACCTTTATTTTTTCTAGTTCAAGACCATCTGGGGTGAGAATTCGACGCATAATTGAAAGCTTACCTTTGGTGGAACCTTCAAATTCCACAGGTCTTTCCAAAAACTAGATTTAGATGCTGTGCTTGAGGAGACTCGGAAATATTTTGATTGAATATAAAACTTATAGTTACTTTTAACAGAATAGATACCTCGTCTATCATGATGTTAAATCCAAGTGACTTGTAAATTTGAATTCTGAATCTTCCTAATAGCCTCAATATTATCCTAATAAAAATACCAATTAAGCTTCTTTTCTTCTCACCCTCCTCTTGGATTGATAAACACAATTTTGTTCTTGACGTATTTTCATATAACAAATTTTCTTTCTCACTCTAAACTTTTTTTTCAGCCTAAATTTCGCTCTCGAAAAATTTATTACTCTCTAATATTTACTATTATTTTTCTCTTCGTCCAAAATTTCAATCTCTATATATTTTTATTTATTTCTTTTTTTCTAACATACCATTCCTATTTTCCTCCCTCTAAAAATTTAATATATTCTCGAACTTTTCTCTTTCTCAAATTTTACCTTTTATAACTTTTCTTTTTCTTTCTGATCTATTTTTTCTCTAACAAATATATTTTCAACTTTTCTCTATCTATTTTTATTATTTTTTTATTTTTTTTGTCTAGGACTAAAAATAGTTATCAAACATGTCTGATTTTTTATTTGAAAGACAAAAAAAAAACAAAAAAAAAACAGTTATCAAACATATATGATTTTTGTCTTTTAAAAACTAAAATAAAAGGCAACAAAATTAAAAATAGAAATGGTTATAAAAGGACCTAACATTTTAATAGACCCAGTGATGTGATCATAATAGGCTCCAAGCTCCAAGACTCAACCTATACCAACAAGGAGGAAAGGCTAGAAGAGAGACCCCAAAACCGAAGAAGACTTTATTGGATCTAACAACAAATTTTGACCTTTTTGAAGACTAATGAAGAACCTAGAGGGTCAAGAGGAAGCGAGGGGTTGAGGAAAAATCGAACAAATGGTCACACCTCAAGGACATGCCAGACATGCCCCAAGGTTAAGCCAAACACATACCGCAAGCACCATTGCGTGCCCACGCACGACATCGCTCGCACACATGCTAGCTCGCACACGCCTCAGCGCGCGCACTAACCTCCTACGAGGCCGCCCACTAGCAGCGCTAACCTCACAGGCACATTGCCCAACGCGCGCCCCTGCCACACTAACCTCACAACGCATGCTGCCTGCCCTCGCAAGCCTGCGCGCCTTTGCTTGTCGCCAGTGCGCACGCCCGCCTGCCCCATGCACGCGCCATTCCACCAGCCCCCATGGGCGCCCCTTCGTTGTTGCCGCCCCTCGTCTTTGAAGCCCACCCTTGGCGCCAAGTTCCTTGCCACCCACTCTTGGAACATTTTAGGAAATATTTTCCTAATTTGTTCCCAGAAAAATTGAGGAATGTATTGAGTTTTTATTTTATTTGTTTTTCAATTTTAGGCAAGATTTTCAATTTTTAGGAAATTATCATTTCAATTTTTGTTATTTCCTTGGCTTGGGTTGTTGCGTGTCACCTAAGTGGGACCTACCAAATAAAAGAGGAGATTTTTTCGATTTAATTTTGTGGTGTTTGTAAGTTTTAGTACAACATGTGGGTGGGGGATCGAACTTACAACCCCTTGATTGGAGATATATGTCAATTACCGCTGAGCTAATGCTCGCTTTGGCTAATATTTGTAAGTTCTTGAAGAATTACAATTTCTGCTGATATGAATATAGTTAAATTGCTTAAGACATAAATCATTTACTAAAAGGTTGGAGGCTATAACCATAGTATTAAATATCTATCGTAATGTCGACATTTTCATTCGACATTGTTATGTATCCATGAGTTCGACATCGATATGATGGATAAATCGACAATTCTATAATATTATAAAAAAATTTGACAAAATATAAAAAATATCAACCAAATGTCACTAATATAGACATAATATTAATATTAATGATTTTTAGCTTATCTAGAAATTGTGAAATGTTTATTTGTTCATTTATATGTTTTTTATTAATTTTATAACGTTTTCAGAAATATTCATCAAAATCGATATTTCCATCCACGTGACTCGACTATAACAAGAAAAATGTGATCTCTACCCTTAATTTGACCTCATCCTCCAGAAGTTTTTATTTATATTGAATATAATATAAATTTGGCCTCTCTCTGTAAAATATTACAACTTGTATTTAAATTTAAAGAGTAGTTATGAGAGTTAATAAATTAATTTCATTAGTTATAATTGGGGGTCAAATATGGATACTTTTAGTATAAAAAAAAAGAGAGAAAAATAACAATGAACGTATAAATCTAAAAATAAACAGAAAGGAAGACAATAGAGACAATAGGGAGCTTCACCAAAAAATAAAACAAAATAAAACAACAGCCACTTTTTATTGGGAGTTATTTTTTTTAATAAATAAATCTCATTTTTTCTTAAAATAAAATACAAGATTAACGAAGGTATGGCTAAATGAATGATTTGTTGTCTATGATTTTAATTTGGTTTTTGTGTCTCAACAAGTTTTAAGTTGGTCCTTAAGATTTAGGCTTAATTTCAAAAAATTCTTCTTTCCTTGAGTTCATGCATGTTTTTATAGGTTTTAATATAACGGGTTTGTCTGAAAATATACGTATCCATATTTATATATTACTGTCCTTTGTCCCGCTTCGATTAGTATAGATGTGATCCAAGCTGGTTCAAGTGCTTGAATAGCGTATATAGCAAAGGAAATTGTCTCAATAAGATATTACTTTCCTTCTTCCTCTATGATGTTTAAAAAGTTTAGTTCTTTTGAGGTTATAGTTGATGGTTGTTTCTCAATTTCACCTCTACCGCAGTACCAAACATGAGAGTTTCTCCTCATTCAACTCCTCGTGAATGTAATGATTCAAAAAACTATACATGTATTTACTGAATAATAGATTGAATCATGAGATTCTTTGAAATGTCATTTAATCGATTAGACATTTGTATATCCTCTTTTAATTTTGATTTTTGGTATGTTGTGTTGTAAAAGGATGTAATCTCATCCTAAAATATTAAACTATGTTGGATAAACTTGATTTATAAATTTAAAAATGATTTATGGATTGTAATGACGAGTTAAACAAGTAAATTAGTTTAGGAGTATGTAATTTTAATGGTAGTGAGAAAAAAAGGTAAAGAGACGGCACAACGGCGTTTTTAACGTGGTTCGACTTTCCAATCTAGTCCACAAGGCTACGCCCAGAGAGAATAAGATTAGAAATCAAATATTAGTACACAAATATTAGTACAATTTAACATCAAAATTGACTTAGGCATAAAAGAATTATGTTCTTAAATCATGAAGTAATTATTGATCGACTTCTCTTTCAATTGAATATTTCAAAACACAAGTTTTTCTTGTGTTTCAACCACCGTTTGAACTCTCTTCAGTAATAGATGTGTTTTCTTCCCAAACACATGATATTATGCCAAGAACATGTCTAGAATAATTTAGAGAGATTCTTGGTTCACCAATATAATTTCATATGCTCCAAAGCCACCCTATAAATTGATAAAAGGATTGAAATAAAAAGGAAGTTAAAATCAAATTAAACCATAATTCTCTAAATTAAATAAAAATAATTAATTCTAAAGACTTTCCAAATAGATAATATGACCTTTGGATACACTCAAGAGCTTAAATACAAATTTAAATTAAAATAAACATACAAATACTTCATTCAAATAAAAAAACAAATAAAGAAAATAAAAAAAGAAGTCAATGCGAACACAACTAAGTGGATAAGATGCTTTAATACAATCTTAAAGGTTGATGATTCAATCCCCACCCTTCAATTGTTGAACTAAAAAAAAGAACTTAAATGTTTTACCAAAAATGTCAATAAGTTAAGTTACGTTTGGTTGGTGATCAGAAAACAAGGGATTCAATGAAAAATAAAATTATATTTTTTTGTTTTCAGTTTTTTTTAGATGTGTGTTTGGTAGCAGATTTCAAAATTGAAATTGAATTTAAAAAATTCTTCAACATGTTTTTAGCAAAATATTTATAAAAGTTACCGACAAAACATCTAGCCTAATCTAAAATAATATAAATTAATTTATTAATATTTTTATTTTAAATTATGTACAATTATTCTTTTAAAATATTGTATAATTTATAATATATTATATTTTACATATTTGAATTTTAACACCAACGAAAGTTTATAATATAAAATAATATATTTATCAAAGTTTTTATTATTTTTTTAATGTAATTATATATTTTAAAATTTTAAATTCAAAATATGAAAATAAAAATTGTTTTTAGAATTTTCATTTTGGATACAGAATTCGCAAATATTCCATTGAATTTAGTTTTGGGCTTTGTAGAAGTGGGCTGGAAGTGGCAATATTCAGCAATCAGCACAAGAGCTGGCATCTCTCTGCTGTTGCCTCTTCTCTCTTCTTCGCTCTAACCAGTAGCCAGTGATGATGTTGCTTGATTTTCCATGACCCAACTGTTTTTCCTTCTTCCCTCATCAACAATGGCTGCCTCTTCAGTGTTATTTCATCCCTCTACCAACGTTCGCGGTCTTTCTGTTGTAGATGGGCGCAAAGTTCCATTCAAGCATTTCGACAAACAGGTGAAGTGCCGTTTGATGGGCTACAATTCTCCCCTCCATCATAGGCTTAGTCCCTTGATAAATCGTTGGAATGGTTCTGCTAATTCGTCTGCAATGCCATCATTCCCAAGAACGACGACAACCCGTCCGTTCTCATCGCCCAAGTGCTCACCTTCTGATGTAGTTAGCTCAGAAGCCCAGAACCCATTTCTTAAACCCTTTAGAAATGTGTCGTTTGATTCAGTTCAAGGTACCCTCTCTCGAATAACCCCTTTTGATGTCGTCAAGTGGTCTGGGGTTTTGTCGATTTCAATTGCAGCCACGAAATGGACTTTGAATTTGTTTATCAACCCCTTCTTCTGGATGTATTTCAGCTGGACTTGGTTGTTCTGGCCCTGGGTTGTGGCTATTTCGATGGCCTTCTATGGATTCTATTGCTTGAGGAAGCACCTGCTTGGGGAAGCCAACATATTCGAGCAACTTGCTGTTGTTACTTCTCTATTCACTTGGCTCACCCTTGTCCCGCCTGCCCATTTCAATGGATTCCTTGAAGGGTGGCCTTTCGTGTTCTTCTTGGTCTACCACTACTTCTTCTTCTTCAATGTTAGCATTCGAAAAAGGTTATACGGAGATTACTTTGCTCGTCCTCACGACCCCAAGTGGGATCTGAACATGTCTAATTTGTATCGCTTACTGTTCTCTGTGGGTGTCATGGCCGGCCATTGGCTTGCTGCGTTTGAAGGACCAGAGCTTCATCAAGTTCCAGGCGGGTGGAGCAATGTGGGCATATGGGTTTTGATAGTGCTAACTCTTCTAACGCACTACAATTCCTCATTGTATCTTGCCAAGTATTCGGAGAAGGTGGTGGTGCCTACCGCTGTTGTGCAGTTTGGACCCTATAGGTGGGTTCGCCATCCAATATATGCGTCCACAATGCTGCTTTTTGCCACTTACTGCGCTGCCCTTCGTGCGCCTGTGAGCATGCTTTTTATAGTGGCAGTTTGTTCACTATATTATGACCAGAAAGCAAAAGCGGAGGAAGCCTTGATGGTTGAAACCTTTGGAGAGGGGTATGTAGAATATGCAAACAAAGTTAGGTACAAGTTTATTCCGTTTGTTTATTAGTTTATTCATACTCTCAGTCGATTCTCAATTTTTGCACCTGAGCTTGATTTAGATTTGAAAAGTGACGGACTGTGAATGAAATCCAGCATTGTTCATCATTGTTTACACTGTTGGAATATCAATGTGAATTCAATTATCAATTGGTTTCTCTTCCCTCCACTCCCCCACCTCCACGCAATAGTTATACCGACCTGTTCAACACTGTTGTTCGATTATGCTCTTGTAGGAGGAGCATTAGATTTCATGGTAGCATATGTTATACTAAGATCTCAATGGTAACTTCATCATGTTAAATTAGATATGATGAAAACTTTTCAAATCTGTTATGCATGTGTTATTTTCCTTCCCCTAATAGCATCTTACTTTAGTGTGCTTGTCATCAATATGGGGTAATAGCTTTTTCCTTCCGGTTCTTATCTATTATATTTGCTCGAAATGGAAGAAGTTCAATACGACTTATCTTAATCAACATAGTGATAACATCTGATGGTGAAGATGATAGCAAGTTGACCCATTTGCAGAAATTTCTGGTTCGCTGTTGTAGATCTCTAAAGAAGTGTACTACTATTTGTTTTTTGTGTTGCAAGTCCTTTATATTAGAGTTAATACTTCGGATCGGGTTATGAAGAGGTCGTATTTGTTGATAGGACCGCAGTGTTGTATCCTTTGTAAGAGGGCGGCGGAGGATCTCGATCACATCCTTTGGAGATGCCATTTTGCCCACTTGGCCTAGGACATGTTTTTTTTGTTGTGTTTGGTTTCAGCCTTACTCGTCCTTGAGATAGTAGTGCCCTGGTGGAGGAGCTGCTCTCTTTTTCACTCTTTCATTATAAGGAGCGTTTTCTTGGCTTGCTGGGGTTTGTGGATGGAGAGAAACAATGGAATTTTTAGAACGGTGGAAAGATCTTGGGAGGAGGTTTGATCTCTTGTTAGATTTCATGTTTCTCTTTGAGCCTCGGTGGTTGGCTCTTGTAATTATCCATGAGGTCTTATTTTGCTAGATTAGAGCCCCTTTGTGGTTTAGTTTGACTCCCCTCACTAGGACTATCTTTTTGTATGCCCCTTTGTATTCCTTCACTTTTATCTCAATGAAAGCTTGGTACCTTTTCAAAAATAACATTAGAACCAGGGGACCTAATAAGTAGCCTCACAGAAACCATAATGGAGAAGTTTTTCTAAGACTTGGTTCAACAGTTATTTTCCTACTAAACTTATTTCACCAAGTAATCAGAAACAGAAATTTCCTTAGAAGATATCTCCAAAAATCCCTCTTTCAATCTGGTGTTGCAACACCTAGTTTAATGAACGTTCTCTTTGGAGATTCACATCTTCCGGACTCACTAATGAAATAGTTGCTGAAGTTCAAAGTTCAAACTTGACCTTTTTGAGACTTGCAAGTCTAATTTATTTAAGCTTCATGTTAGATGAGTCGTTATTCAAGCATCTCCTTTTGGGGATGGAGGCATGTGGGATAAGAACTATCAAACAGAAAACAACCAACTGTATTAGGTTCCATAGTTGAGAGCTATTAGTCCTGCTTCACTCTAATTTTCTTCTAAGAATCACTGCAGCCAACAACCTTGCTGCATTTGCATTCATGTGCTTTACTCTTCCGGTGATCGCGAAGAAGTTTAATGATTTATGCTCCCTCGTGTAGTTCTTATAGTTTAGTCAAGATCTTGGGACTTGGACACCTTGATGTGGTAGTTTAGCTTTTTTCCATAGTCGAAGTCTAGTGTTTGTAATTTTAGGCATCAGAGTGTAGGAAGTCTATGATGTTCTCCTTTATGGACTTTCTCTATCTTAAATTCTTCTTAATGACTCTTGAGCCAACCTTTCTGGACTCCAACGTTCAAGGAAGTATTCTCTTAACTCCCTTTGCATGTGTCCAAAGAATCAGTACTTGGCTTTCTTGTACATGCCATGCCGCATCGTTGTGATGGAAATCATGACTTTGCATTACCCCTCAAATAGAAGCTTGTTGTGTTTGATCGCTCACATGGTAGAAGCTTTCCAACTCTAAAACGTGCCTCCATTTCACAAAGGAACGTTCCACAAAGTTTGGATCTTCTTATATTCATACCCCATCACGCTGGTTCTATACATTCTCTCCCTCAGAGAAACATATTTTCTCGTCAATGCCTCTTGGGTCGCCCATTGGGATCTTTAATGGACTTCATTTCCTTTGACAAGGTATCCCTCAAACAATTCAATAGACCACAAACAACCCAAACACACAATTGAGCTCTGGTAGAAGAAATTTTGCCTCCCAGACACCTCACTTGGCTCACTATGGCTTCTATTAAGAAATCGACATAATAAGATTAAAAATAGAAGTTGAACACAATGGCTTAAAAAAATACTGCTACAAAAAGTTTGGAACTATAAAATCAACCACCCTATGAGATAAAAAAAAGTTGACAGCAAAATGGGAAAATCCATTGAAAAAATGAACCTCTAGGATTCAGCCTTCAGCTTTGCAAGCTCTTGCCTAAGCAGTCCAACCCTCTTAATCTTAGCCAACATATAAGCTTGAACCTGTCGAAGTCATTGAGTGATGCTCTTCTCTTCCTAACAATCAGTTTGATTGTTATCTGCCCCAAGAGCTATTCTCCCATTTCTTCTAAACATCCCCAGCTTTCATAGCTTCAATCAGCTCCTTCTTCTTTGGGACTCTCTTGATATCAATTTTAAAATCAGTTAGGGAAACCGCTCCATGTCAGGGGCATCAACCTGTTCTAATCAATGAAATCGACGATGACTACAAGCTTTCGATAGTCTTCACTGTAATTGATGAGAACCACCCTCTTGATGTCGATATACTTTTTCAACGGTATTCTCACAGCTCTCACTATGGCTTCTATTGCAACACACTTTAGTGTGTTTCGATGAATTCTATCATCAATTGCTACAATGGAAGATTAAGATGTCGCAACAACTTTGGTTGTTGGGAACAAAACATTAGAATGGTCTGACAGTGCCCCATTCAACCATGTCGAATAAAATAATTCTATTTTGGTGGTGTCTAAGTAGACTGCTCAAGAAATTACTAGACTGTCTCCATGAATTCTCCACTGGAAGTTGTGTGCTTACCCACTAGAAAAGGCAACAATCGGTAAAGTAACCGAGTCTTAGTAGAAATGTGCTTATGTTGCATTACTACATGCATTAACTAACTACAAGCTACCAAGCTTTCAAGACGTTTGAAACTCTTGCCAAATGAATATGAGCATAGCTCAACGGTTATAATATTTCTACTTCCTTCAAAAAGTTATTAATTCAAACCCCCATCCCAGTGGTGTTCTTTAAAAGAAAATAAAAATGTTCTTAGAGGAGCTGATCTACCGAAGAGATTGGTGAAGTGGACTGATTACACTGGGTAAATGGAGGGGGTGGCTTGCCATATGGAAGGTGGAATGGTATGTAATCTTGATGGAGAAATGGGCAGAGGTATTATACCATTACTCTGCGCAAAACATTCAATTTTCCTCTGTTCTCAGTTTATTGGATGAAAAACAACGTATGTAAGTTGCTATACACCTATTAATTATCTCAAACGTAAGTTTCTATACAGTATAAACCTATTATCTACCTCAGATTCGCCATCCATATGAGGATTTTTTTAAGATAATAAACAATTTTCATTTGAACTAGAATGCATAAGTGCATCCAACAAAATGGGCAAACTAAAACTACCTGCTAAGAGGAATCCAGATTTCAAACCTACAGAAAGGGCTCGAATCCAAAAGAATAACACCTAACTGATGATTTCAAAAGACCTTAGAAATAGAAGTCCAAAAAATAGGTATTAGATTTTGCCCCAAACCTCCCCTCAAGACCTCTCGGCCCCTCTAAAAACTCTAGTATTTCTCTCCAATCAAATATCCCACAGAATAGTGAAAAGCAGGAGTGCCAAAGAACATTTCTTTTATCCCGAACAGAGGATAAGACAACACCTCCACCAATGCTCGACAATTTGTACTAAGAACCAAAGAAACCCCAGAAGAATTCGAAACACGCGTCCAAATTGACTCGGCAAATTGATAGCTCCAAAGGATGTGGTCAAGGTCCCTCAACATGATTCTGCAAAGGAAACACCACTAGGCCCCAAACAAAAGGGAGAGTGCCTCTGAAGATGATCCAAAGTAACTTGCCCTATACCATTGGTTAATGGGCGAGTTTTCAAAACTTGGAGGATCCAAAACTCGGGTGAGGTCAAAGAAACCTTGCCCATTTTTATCAAACTCGCCCTAAACCATTGGTTCACGGGCGAGTTTGATAGATTGGAACCAAAAAACCCGAGCGAGTAACCCATAAAACTTGCCTGKCGTTTTGATAAAATTTATCTACAAATTTTATACTCACCAACTTTTACCTACCAAGTTAATACCTTTTACCTACTGACTTGTACTTATCATTATTATTTCATAAGACAAAAACTAATTCCAAAACTTTTGTTCTCCGGAGCAAAATTGAACTTAGTCTTTTCTTAGAATCTAGAATCTCACACCCCTTCCAGGTTTTCACCCTCCAAAGAAACCCACGTTTTCAATGTGTAGATATTTTGAACGTTCATACTTTTAAGATTGAATAGATTTCGTTCTTTTCAACAGTTGAACAAGGTAGCTTCTATATTCTTTTACAACCCAAGTTTTTTTTAAACTGTCATTTTTCTTTCTTCATTTGGGTTATGGACTACAATAACTCGGGAAAAACTCATACTAAACTCGTTCGAGTGAAATTTTTTTTAACATAATATGAACTTCTAAAATAATGAAAAGAAAATACAAAGTTAAAAAGATACAAACTCCTGGAAGGAGTGAAAGAGAGCAACACAAAAAATTATAAACAAAACAACCAAAAGATGTGAAAATTAAAAGAAATAGAAGATACAAGATTGTGACAGTAATAGTTTGGTTCATCATTGCCTAAGCTGCATGGGACAACATTGTCGATCAACGTGATTACTGATGTGGTGAAACACCCTAGAATGGGGGAGGAATGGGAATTGATGGGACAAAAGATGGTACGTTTGGCCCGGGATAATATGGAAAGGAAGGAAATACTTGAGTTTGTGGATAGGAGGGTTTATGTATTACTGCTGCTACCTTGAAGTTTACAGTATCATGGCTGAATGACACAGATGCTC